TTTGCCAAACTTAGGAATTGTCTTTTTTCATTTACATAAGTGACTTAAACAGAAGGAAAAAAAAAATGCTAAAGTGGCCTAGCCGTGGAGAATGAAATGAGGAAAATTAAGCTGCTTTTTTCACAAAAATTATTTACAGAAAAGTACCACCGTTTACAGGAGAATGCTAAATTGCATTAAGAACAAAAATTCAGACTAATAAATGCTTTATCTGTCGAAAATGAAGAAAGACCAAACATGGTGGGTATTTTCGGAATACTCAGTGACATTTCTGATTCCGTAATGTTGGAAAAAAATGTCTTATATATCCTGGAGATGTTTAGATATATCATATTTTCCATCTTCATACGGCTATTTTTCAGCTCTGTCGATTTTGCACACTGGTCAGGGTACAAGAAGTAGGAGCAGAGCCAGTACATCTGCTGGCGCTGGTGACCGTGCGACAGCAAGAGCACAAAATCCTGGAGCTGATCAAGGCCGATTATGCCGTTGTGGACAGGCAGCGAAACGTCTGGTAGTTAGGAAAGAAGTAAGGTTTTTTTCCCCTCTAAGTATTATGCGAATGTTGTACTTAGTAAGAGAGTGATCTCTTACAGTTATTCCAGAAATTTATAACAGAGACTGCTCACCTAGGATTCCAGTTTTTATTGCGATTTTGGGCACTTCAAGCGAATCATGCTTTTGAATGTGCGGTGGAATTTTCCGAAAGCTGTAACAGAAAACAGCAATAGCACTTTTCGAAAAAGTCATTTGCTTGCGTGATGTAGAAAAGAAAGTTTAGAAGAAGCATAAATTGCACTTTACTTGTGGTAAAACTGACAGTTCATAATTGATAGTTCAAGCTCTCTGTACAAGAATTTTGATATGATACTGAGATAACGAGGCATTTTGACACTAAGCTCAGTAGACCGAAAAAAATGAACCTAACGGGACCATCTTAGCTCTTCTTTTTCAATTCCCTTTCTCATGCCTTTATCCCCTCTCATTCTCTTTCTTCTTTCTTTGATACTTCTGTTAATTTCTCATCCTATATCTATTTGACCCTTCGCATCAAAATATGCCAGAATGGAGTTCGCAGGCGTGGAAAATAACTCTGACATCCTCCAAAAAACATCAATTTCCAAAAAACATCTATTCCTTCAGAATGCAGTTGTAGAATTCTGCTAATTTAAAATTTTCTTTCAGGGACCAAACCATGGTCGCATTTTCTGGACATGCCCTAAAGATCGGAATGATCCACAAAAGTGTAAATATTTCGAATGGGAAGGACCGCGAAATGATGCGCAGCAGTGAAAGTGCCGGCATTTTTTTTCATGTTATTTTTGTAAATTATTTCTTTTTGATGTATATATTCTCTGTACCTCTCTTACTTTTTTTGTCCCGAAGTCTTCTGCCATACAGTACCGTGTATATTTGTTTATTTTGTGAATTAATGCTCTGTTGTTTACGCTGTTCATTTTGTGTATGTTTCCTGCATGTTCAATTTTTGGTAGCAAAAGCGGTCTCTTAAATCTGCTAGAAGCGAAATTAGATTTTTGTAAAATAAATGTAAGAAATCAAACCGCTACCCTTATTCAGGGCCATCTGAGAGGCGAAGGCATTCGGAAGTAATTTGAGTAGTCACACACAAGACTGGTATGACTGTCGATGACCACAACTAAGGACTTGACGAAGGGAGCTTGAAAGTGGTTGCGATTAAAACGTAAAAGTAAAGTAAGTCGAAGGTCAAGTCTCCGTTTGCAATCGCCCTTAGTGTGAGGCGGAGGTA